CAACACCTGCACATCCAATACACATACGTGCATTACAAATTCATATACCACACACACACACACAATGATATCTATATATGTATATATATGTGTATTCACTAATTCACACACATACCACCCACCTACACATACACACAGGTGAGTTCCTAAGTTGGGTGTTGTGATGTGTACGTATGTATATGCTTGGTGTACTTGGGATACCCGGGGAAAGGTTAAGGTAAGAAAGTAGAAGTATAAGGAGTTAAAGTTACCAGGATGGGGATTAGAACCGGTAGACTATAGGGGCCTGGGCGGAACAGCTGAGGCACCGAGGTTACTTTAGGTTAATTGATCTTAATTGATTAAAAGACAACCCCAAAGCCTGCAGAACAGAGAAGCCCCAGGGCACAGAGGCTGGGTCTGGAGCCAGAGCTACCAGGAAGCTGAAAAGGTAGATGGGGAGAGGGAAAAATGGGACTAGGGGAAAGTGTGGGCGTTGAAGAGGGGCTCTGGGTGTGGGGGAGCCAGAGGATGGCTCCAGGGCAGCTAGAGAGGTCTGGGAAGCTGCAGGGGGTGGGGAGCCTGAAAACAGAGAGACGGACAGCAGAAAATCACAGAAAGAGCAGCAGGAGAGACTGAAAGGCGGCAGGGGCAGCAGGAAAGCAGGGAAATGCAGCAGGAAGTCACAGGGAAAAGGCAGTAGGAACATGGGAAGCAGGGGGACAGCAGAAAATTACAGGAAAAGCGGCAGAAGAGACTGAGAGGCAGCAGGGGTAGCGGGAAAGTAGAGAAAGGGAGCAGAAAGTCACAGGGAAAAGGCAGTAGGAATTGAAAGGAGATCGGGAAACTAGTAGAGAAGGGTGGGGGCTGCAATTGAGAGAGAGAGAGAGGCTGGAATTTAAGACAAGGAAAGGACTGGGATTCAGTAAAGCATGACCCAACTCAGGGTTGCAAGTGACAGTGGTTTTATTGAACAGGGGAGATGGTGACACAATGCCAAACGGTTCCCTTGTGCGCGCGCACGCGCACACACACACTGGCAGCAGGGCTTAGAGAGGCTTGGTGCAGGGGCTGAAGTCCACTGAAGTCCAGGAGGAGAGAGAGAGAGTCCCCAGTTGTAGGAGGCGGCGTGCAGGACGTGTGCAGGAACCTCTCCTTCCTGGAGAGGTTCCTGAAGGACGCCGTCCGAAACAAATACGCCAGTGACCAGAGGGTCAAACCCGGCCAGGGCAAGGTATTCGACGTCACCTCAAAGTGGGACTCCAGCAACCACTTCATGCCCAGCAGGAGCTTCACGCGCTTCGCGAACTGGCGCTTCCTCCACCGTGCCCGCCTCAACTGCCTGCCTCTGAATGGGGCCATCTGCTTTGGACACCGGGACAAGAGGTGCCAACGGTGCCAGTGACCAGAGGGTCAAACCCGGCCAGGGCAAGGTATTCGACGTCACCTCAAAGTGGGACTCCAGCAACCACTTCATGCCCAGCAGGAGCTTCACGCGCTTCGCGAACTGGCGCTTCCTCCACCGTGCCCGCCTCAACTGCCTGCCTCTGAATGGGGCCATCTGCTTTGGCCACCGGGACAAGAGGTGCCAACGGTGCGGCTACACGGCAGAGCCCCTCCCCCACGTGCTGTGCAGCTGCAAGCCGCACGCCAGAGCCTGGCAGCTCCACCACAGTGCTGCCCAAGACCACCTGGTGAGGGCCATCCCAGCCACAGCGGGGGAGGTCTCTGTGAACTGCACTTTCCTACGTACCTCGAGGTACCAGGCACGGCTCGTGAACGCTGAGATGGTGGGGTGGATGAAGCGTCTCACAGGAGCGTGGGGGGGGGGGTTTCCTTGTGCACTCAGCAGCAGACCGGGAAATGGATCAGAAGTACTTGCAGTCCACTTCCAGGTCGCCACCGAGTGTGACCCAGGAGGCACCACTCACTGAGTCGGGAGGCAGGGTTTCCCCCATGCACTCCACGGTAGACCCAGAAGTGGACCAGAAGTACTTCTGACCCACTTTCGGGTCCCCTGCCTGGGCCACCATGGCAGCCTGTCACTCCTGCAACACAAGCATCTTCTTGAGGAGGGCAATGTGCCTCTTCTGGAGGGTGGGGAGCCTGTGCCAGAAGGCACAGTCCTCCCAGTCCCTCTCCTGCTCCATATCCTGGGTGCACCAGGCCTGCAAGTACACCAGCTACTCCTCTACCATGGTGACCAACTTGTCCAGCAGGAGGATGCATTCTTGTGTGATGCTGCTGGTGGAGACAGCGCGTGTAGAAGGCACCAGCTGACCATAGTGGTGTCCTTCGAGGTTAATCCCCAGTGGCAACTGGTACATTTCCCCCTTGTGTAGCTACTGGACATGCAAAGCCAGGAGAGGGGCTTTTTGTGAGCATTCGCAACATTTAGAGGTAACATGTGCTAGGCTGAGGGGCTGTGTGCCACCCAGCCTCAGAACTGTGTGAGCTGCCCAGGCAGCTGAGGAACCCAGGGATCATGCTAAGTTAGCCAGGCAGACCCTGCCACAGGTGGCCACTGGCTAAGCCCTCCATCCCCACTCCCTCCAAAGAAGCAGGTGGCCTGCTTGACACTTGCTGCAGTCAGCCTGCCTTCTGCCATCCCTACCCAGGCCAGGGCAGGGCTGGTTCTTACCACCTGCCATGGCAGCTCCAAACCAACTCCCCCCGTTTCTCTTCCTGCAGGCTAGACGTTTTGATCCCGAGGCACCAGACCACACTGCCCAGAGTTGGGGAGGGAGGGGAGGAGCTCCCACACAGCTGGCAAGTGGAGCTGGTGACAGCCCCACCCTCCCGAATGAGGTCCTCTCCGGAGAAGGGAACTATGTCCGAAGCATGCCCCTGCTGAGAGTCTGCCAGCAGTACCATGACAAGCTGTTTGAGTGCACTAAGGGATGCCCAGCCCACCAACCACTATGTACCGACCAAGCCAATTCCCCCACCCTCATCATTGACGGATGTCCATATGGCACCAGTCTGCCTACGGTCAGCTCTGAAATAGTTAAGGAGCTCCTGGAGGAGCTGGATGGGTACAAGTCAGCAGGCCCAGATGACGTCCATCCACAGCTGCTGAAAGAATTGGCCAGTGTCATAGCTGAGCTGCTGGGACAGCTGTTTGAGCACTCGTGGTGCTCTGGCCAGGTCCCTGAGGACTGGAGAAGGGCCAATGTGGCACCCATATTCAAGAAAGGGAGAAGGGATGAGCCGGGTAACTTTAGACCAGTCAGTCTTACCTCTATTCCTGGGAAAATGCTAGAGAAAATAATCAAAGAACACATTTGTGCAGGCCCAGCAGGGGAAACGATGCTGAGGGGAAACCAGCA